ACTGGAAAACATTTTTGGGATAATTTTCAGCAACATTGAAAAGAATCCCCAGATAAACCTTCCTTTGTTAGGATAAATGATACTTAACATAGTTCCCGCTGGTTTAATTATTTTCCATTCATAAAAGCTTGTCAATATTTTATAATTTGTTAATAATTCATGGCTGGATCTGTTTGGAAAAGAATATTCACCTTTAAAAAATGCAAATGCCTTTTTATTTCTCCTGGAATGATGGAAATGCCTGCAAAACATGTTAAAATGTGGAAAAACAGCAGAACTCAGTCCAGCAACCAACAAGCCACTTTAAAATGCCTTCTAAAATTTAATTAAACTAATACTTTAAATTCTATGACTGCGTGGGCACAGTTCTTAAAGGGAAAGGTGGTGCTAAGAGAAGCTTTCTCAGTTACCAGGACAATTCATGAGTGGAAAGAGAAAATGATTCCTGTTCATCCCTGGGCTCTGCATCCTTAGGCCAGAGATTGTACCCTGCAGTAGTAGAGAGAACAAAAGGCCGTGATAAAAGTTTCTGTATTATACGGAAGAACAATGGCCTTCTATTCTAAGTCTCATAGCCCTGAAGAGTGTTTTCAGGGAAATGGCTCGCTGTGTGTGTTGTCTCATTTGGCGAGTCCTCCCCTTGAGAACGTGCCTGTAACCACAAGCGGTTATTACATCTGCCTTATAGAAGCCATTTGTCAGAGCAACCGCCCTCCACGTTAGCGCCCGCCAAGTCTCTCTAGCGAAGTCCCATGTGGATTGCTGGAAACCCTACGAAATAGGGGGAAAGGCCACAGATACCCCATGAGGGTAAACTCAGTGTAAGTAACAGCACCCTCTTGTCCTTTTATTCTGTGTACCTTGATCTCCTTTATTTGTCAAATCCCACTTTTCTATGTAGCACATCAGTCACCACGGCGATTTGACAGTCACGTGTTTGGTAATACGGCGGCCCCAATCTTTGATATCTGTTTTATATGTATGGGAGCTGTTTCACTTGGTTTAGGGATTGAGACCAGTAGGAAGAAGGAAGACTCCAGGGCGGTGACATCCAGGCTGCTGTCGGCGGATGTTGGCCAGCCCAGAGAGAGGCTGTGGTAGGTTTTGGTGTGCCACCAGACAGGGTACTGAGTCTTCTCTTGCCAAGTCCCACCTTTGTAGCCCCTCTTTTTAGGGGATGGATGCAGCCTTGATGCTTAGGAGGAGCAGCAGAGGCGGTGGAGCGACTGTCATTCACTGTTTCTCTCTTTGCGTGTAAAGCTGCATGTGTCAAGTCTGCAGTCATGAGATGTCTGTGCTTCTTCCCTTGATCATGCCTTTGTCTCTCAGTCTTACAAGCCCCCCCCCCCCCCCGCTCCCTCTCTCTCTCTCTCTCTCTCTCTCTCTCTCTCTCTCACACACACACACACACACACACACACACACACACACACACTCCTTCTAGCTGTGCTTTTCCTAGTGATCTCAGAGGTGCTGGGACGGTACAGACATGTGTTTCAGGACCAGAAAGCAGCCTCGAATGGTCTCTAAACCTCAGTCACATGGTGGTTTACATCTCAGACTCAGAGTTCCTCAAATCAAAATGACAATATTCAGACAGCAGTTTTGATCACTGTGGCTTGCCTGGCACTCCACTCATTGCGTAGATGTGGATATAAATCATCTCAGTGTTCAGTGAGCTGGAGTCTAGTGTTGGGGTGGGGGTGTGAAGGGAGATTGACGGTGACAGCATGTGCGGTGAGGGAAGGAAGCACTGGGGTGTCTGTGGACACCGGAGCAGGGGCATTGGAGAGGGAGATGACACCTGAGCCAAGTCCTGAGGGTAGGCAGGTGTGGCCACTTGAATGTGGGGTGATGGGCCACGGTGATGTGTGTTCCAGGTAGCATGCACAGAGGCTTCAAGACCTGGTCTCTTAAGGAACAACCAACTTCCAGAATTTACCTTCAGCTTGTCACGAGGGCATTCCCAAAGAAGGTGCCTCCAAGGGGACATATGCTGCAGCCACATTTAGGAAGCACCGAACAGAAAATGTGGGCATAAAATGGGGTTTGGTGTAAAGCAGACTCTTACGGATTGGGAATGCTCTGCTGCCTCAAGTGAATGAAATGTCATCAAGTGCAAACATCACGTGAAAAGAGCTTGTTGTTCGGGACTAAGTTTATCGGGATAGCATGGAGCTTATTGCAATGATAACAAGGGGATCTATTACCATTTAACCCGAATTGTCTTCTACTAAAGTGTTAAACTGAGATCACCATGAAGCAAGTAATAGAAGGTACTGAGGCCCCCAGTTATTTAAAGTCAAGAGGGTGAACTCCTGGGTCTTGCCTGAGGCCTCTCAGTGACGAAGGGGGAGAAAGAGAAAAGCTGGAGAAGCAGGAGGAGGAAGGAGACTCCGCTCCTCACCAAGGTTGTGAGGGAGCGGGCACATAGGGGCACATTGAGGTCAGGAGCCCTCAGCATTTTTAATGCTACACTTCACATCCGTTCCTCTGCCTCAACTGGCATCTCTTTGTGGGGAAAGAAGCAGAATGATTAGGTGAACAAGACCCCACTATCCTTAGGATTTTGCATGAAGCTCAACCCATCCTGCTTCCTGCCCTTTGAACACTTGCTAAGTGCTGGACACTTGCATCTATATCATCACACTAGATGTAGATTTTGCTCAAATAATGAGAATAGATTAAGAGCTCCCTGCAGAGAACATTCTTCAGAGGCTCACAGATTGTTCACTTCACTAACAGATAGACATGGATTCGTTGTGACAGGCCTTATTCAGCTACATTAAATGTAAGGAGACCTGCCTGGCCGGGGTGGCTCAGTGGTTGAGCATTGACCCATAAACCAAGAGGTCACTGGTTCGATTCCCAGACAGAGCACATGCCCCGGTTGCGGGCTCGATCCCCAGTAGGGGGCATGTGGGAGGCAGCCAGTTGATGTTTCTCTCTCATTGATGTTTCTATCTCTCTATCCCTCTCCCTTCCCCTCTCTCTAAAATCAATAAAAACATATTTTTAAAAAAGTGTAAGGAGACCTGATAACTGTAGAAGTTCACACATTTATCGTTAACTTCAGCTCTTTAACTAAGCTTCTATGACAAGTACATACTTCCATTGAAATCGGGAAAGGAAAATAGATAATTAAGAATGAAGTGAAATGAGGTTTTATTTCTACAGCTATAAATTTTCTTATACAGTAAGATCCACACGCATGTAACTTGTTATTAAAGGTATATTGTCTAACCACTTTATATGTATTTAGCTCTAGTTTTGACTCATTTAAAGTAATAGAGCTTGTTGTTATTTTTTGAAATCCATCCAAGATTCCCAATAGACTTCCCTTTTCTATCTCCTTCCTTCATTCAAGAGTATTGAATACCTTTCGTGCCACACATTGGATTTAGTACACTAAAACCTGTTAACTACTGGTGTGTTGGTGCCTAGTCAGGTTATCACAAGGAGTCAAATCTTCTTAATTAAGCCCTTGCCTCTGAACAGCACATTCTTGGTCTGGTCTGAGCAGTGTTCAGAGAGATGTAAACCAGGTAGCAGGTGCACGTTGAAGTAGGTAAACATTGAGATGGCTCAGGATGCTGATGACATCATGTGTGGTGCTTTTAGACCCTCCAAAAAGGAGTTTCCTCCATTGACCTCCCCCAGCCTCCCCCACCCCTCAGCACATACCCTCACCCCCCTAGTGTCTGTGTCCATTGGTTATGCTCATATGCATGCATACAAGTCCTTTGGTTGATCTCTAACCCCCCCCCCCCTTCCCGCTGAAATTGACAGCCATTTTTAATAGATGTTCTAGGTCAGCCTTCAGCCTCAAGGGAAAGATTAGTCTGGGCTCCTGATGCTTGCTATTTAGAAAGGAAACTGATATAATCAGAATGAAGTGATCTGAAGAGCAGATCATTGTCAAAGCTGTTGTTACAACTGTGCCCCACAGATGTGCCTCAGGGGCCACGGGGGGTGGGTGGGGGGACTTTAGGGAGGAAAGGAAGGTTGGGAATTGGGGGCAGGGAGGCTAGTGGGGAAAAAACCTGCTTTCCACACTGAATCCCTCTTTTATTTTACGTTTGAAGAAAGCGTACTGTGGCTAAAGGAAATTTCGGGGGGGAATGTGGATTTGGCCAGTTCACACATTTTACCAGTGAACAAAATGAGGCTCAGGAAAAGCAAATGGTTGTATAAGAAAGAGAATCTAATCATGGTTTACTACACTGCCTGGCCTAGCAATGGGCAGTTTTACTCGGCCGTTTCATCGGTGTGATGTAAATTCTGACTATAAAGTTACCTACGAGTTGAGATAACTATGTAGGAACTGAATGAAGAGGATGGATGTTGGGGGTTTGTGGAGAGTTAAGTCTTCATATGCCCCAATAAGAAGTTAGTAGATAATAACTAATATTGATTAATCCATAAAAATTTCATGGCCAACATTATATTTTAAAATACAGAGGTAAGAAGAAAATGTATAGAAGTATAAAAGACAATACTAAAAATAATTGGAATTGACTCCTATTGAGAACAGATCTAAGAGAACTGAACAAGATAAGGACTGCTGTTTTCTGCTGATATATTAATTTTTTAACGAATAAAAATGTTTAAAGGGGATAGCATGCATTTGCAATTCCGTGTATGCTTCCTACCTGCCCTTGGTCAATAAAGCTCATGTTTACAAGGAGACCATTCCCTGGAGGAGAAAAAGAAGCAGGATATGAGAAGTGAAATTTATTGCTCCACGATGTAAGGACTGGGGCGTGAGAAGTCAAGTTCATGCAGGGTGTTTCCCAAGGAAATGATTAGGCCTTTGGCTGTTCGTTTGGTGTTGTCCCTGAATTATTTTAGGGACAGAAAAGAAAGTGGAAGCCTGAGAGTGCAGAGATGTGGAATCAGCCTGCATTTAGGGGACAGTTTCTGTTTGTCCTGCAGTTATGTCAATTCTAGATAAACATCAGTCCTTAACTTCTCTCTTTGATGTTTCTTTTTGAAAACAGGGAAATACACATAAAATCATGGAGAAATGTACATTGCCATTAACTGGAAAGCAGTGTGTCAACCGCATCATCACTGAAAAGGTAAATGCCTTCCTTTCTCCTTTTATTCCCTCTAATGTCTGCCTCCACCTTTTTTTTTTAATAAGCATTTTTAGAGTTCTTTTGTTACGCTCTGAAAGTGTTTTACATTGGTAGTCATAGGATTAGTTTAATAGTATAGTCCGTGGGTAGACTAAATAGAGAAATTTATCAGGTTAATGTTTCAAAATGTAGAATTCTTAATGTGCAACTCTCTGGAAATGGACATAGGCACACAGAATTGAACTGCTGTCCTTTGTAATTTTGACTGTGATGTAGTCCAAGAAAAGTTTTATTGCTCATTATGCTTGGACTGCTAAGATGGATGATATATACAAAGTTAAGACTATCCTTTCTACCTTTCCTCTATGCTTTCCCAAACCACATGTACAAATTGTTGGGTTTTATTCTAGGAAGCTCAGGAAAAAATAGGTTTTAGTCATTTGGATGCACATCGCAGTACAGGCCCCACCGTATACCCAGGAATCTCGTCTGTGGTTCCCTCGTGTCCCAGCCCCTGTCAGAGTGGACTGTCCGAGTTTCAGTGCCTCCTACATTGATTTCTTCTTAGATGGAGCATTGGCTGGTGGTGCCGCTAGAAGCTGTTCCCATCAGAGGGCAGCCTCCTGGGCAGTTTTCTGCCCTCCTCTTTCTGACCCAGAGTTGAACTGAGGGTGTGGGAAAGACATCATTCTCATAAGTGAGCGAGGAGGGTGTCATCTTCTCAATTCCGTGTCTTGATGAAGCCACCTTCTCTGAACCAGACTGTCCCCAGCATTAGCCTCAGAAAGCAGAGCATGGCCTCTGCAGTAGCAGCAGGTAGAATATAAACCTGGAACACCGTGAGAGATGCGTGCCAGATGCTGAGAAGGGAACATCCAGGAAGGCTGCCCGACAGCCAGGGAGGGTGTCAACGAAAGCTTCTAGGTGGTAAAAATAAGTTTTAACGTGTTTTGCAAGGCATTTTACAGTTTGTACCTTTTCTCCTCCAGTTTCAGTTTCCCACTTTCTGCCTTAACATGGTCCCCACTTCAGCCACACTAAATGCTTTGAACTGTGTACATCCCCCCACCGTGTTCTTCTGGTACTTTGCACACCTATCTCTGTCCTTGGAATGCTCTCTCCACCCCATCCCGCTGGCTCATTGCTGCTCATTTCTATGTCTCAGCTATTTCTTTCTTTCTCTGGCAAGTCTTCTCCGCGCCCCCCGCTCCCCCCAAGTCTTCCAGGAGCTTCTCCGAATCCCAGTACTTACTCTGACTTAGCACTGACCTCGAAGCTCTGCTATCTCACTCATCACTGTTTATTCAGCACTTAGTATGGTGCTTGCCGGACACAGTGTATGCTTGTTGCCTCAATGTATTATACTTTCCTTGCCAAGAAAACTGATAGATTGAGTGGTGAGTCTTGAAAGATAACTAGGAGTTTTATAAGTGAGAATAAGACCAAAGAAGCTCCTCTAGGCAAAGGGAAGAAAGTAGGCAGAGCCTGGGAGGTGTTAAGAAAACACAGCCTAGGCGAGGACCTGCAGGTGGAACAGCGTGGAACAGCCAGGTTCTGAAGGCTAATGTTGAAAAGACAGTGAAGGGCCACATTATGAAAGAATGTGAATGCCTTGCTAGGAAATTTGGGTTTTATCTGGAAGGCAGTTGGGAGCCTTCCGGCGATTTTTAGTGGCTGGGGACACAGTTGATCAGGTTTGCATTTTAGAAAGAGCTCTGTAGCTTTCGAGTAGAGTAAGCGGAGAAGAGATGAGACAGAGGCCAGTGACAAGACCCCTCCACTGCTCTGGGCCAGAAATGAAGATCCTAAACCACAGGACAGGAACAGATCTGAGATATTTATGATGATCTCAGCCTAACTCGATGATGTGGACATGGACACTAAAGCAGAGGAGATTTCTACGTTTTCTGGCTGGAGCGGGTGGTCGACCTGTTGTACACTTACTGACATCTGGAACTATAGGAGAAGGGGCAGAATGATGGGAGGCAGGAAAAGAAGAGGCTCAGGTTGGACATTCTCAAGTCAATATTCTTGAATAATTAGCATCCAGTCAGGTATTTCTGACAAACGATTGTAGATGTGGTTCTAGAGCGCAGAAGAGAAATCACTATCTGAACAGATTTGTGGAAGTCATTAGCATGCGGGGATCATTGGAGCCTTAACTGTAGGTGACAGTGTGTAGCAGAAATGAGTTGAGTGACAGGCAGCCATGTATGGAATGTTTGGTACCTCAAGGAAGAGTGGTACATGTTTACCCCTGTGCTCTATACAGTAGTCACCCAGTAAATGTCCGTTGAATGAGTAAGTATGAGAATGCAATGCCATTGAGGACAATAAATGTGTACAGCCCTGCGGAGCAGACTTGGGACTAGAATTCCGTTTTCAGCTCTTGTGGAAAATTCCATTCATTTGCCATTTGAAAGAAGCCATGGCGATGTTGTGACCCTGATTTCCAAGTTTCCTGTTTCTAGAAGGAGATTATGAAAGGTGCCTTTCTCCCAGCACCCAGACTGTGATTAACTGCTTTATCCATATGGAGCCTTTTATGCTGGTGATAAAATAATTAATTTGTTCATATGCCACGTGAATAAAGCAATTGCAGTATCATCCTTGGCACTTGAACAATTTATTGTATAGCTCTTGGGTTTTAGCCTCTTATTTTAATCAAATATATTGTTTTGTTTGCACTTTATACCACTAGATGGGAATCTTCCTAAATCTTTCCAAAGTAAATTTTCTTCTTTTTAATAACAGATACTTGGTTTTTCAATATATGAACCCAAGAGCTAATTGGGGTTTGATGAAAGTTTTAATAAAAGTTTTTTAAAAGCAATAACTCACTTTACCATAATGTTTATCTGCCTGGTCACGACGCCACAGTTATCTTCTCTTCCATCTCTTCCCTGCCTGTTCTCAATAACAACGCCATCCAGAGGCTTTGTTTCTCCGATTTCTTCCATGTGGATAAATGGACAGTTGTTCGTAATACAGGTAAAAGGAAATCCGTGCGAACAGCTCTCCAGACTCGGTTTCTGCAAAGGAAAAATCCATTACAATTTTTTAATTCTCAATTTGGAGTTAAATAAACTATTGCAGCATGCAGACATTCCTAAATGAGCATTTTCCCCTTCTCAAAACGAATATTTTTTTTTAGAAACATAAAAATGAGTAAACAAAGAACAAGTCTGCTGAAATATTTCCTCTTAATTTAAACTATCTTTTCCAGTAAAATCAACTAGGTTATCTGTGAATTCATCACACAAATAGAGACTGTATCACTGGTTGCCTGGATGTTGTGCTCCTGGGGAGAAATGTCAATTAACTGGAGACAAATAAGTGTTTGGGGGTTTTGATTTGGGTTCACACACAGGTGACAATAAGGTGAGCTGTTAAGGAGAAAGGCCATTCCTGTAGCAGCCCCTGTGATGTCCTGCTGTGTCCAGGCAGGATGCCCGGTGTGCAGGGTGTGATTTGTTAGTATCTTTGACCTGTATGACTAACCCTGGGAAGCAGGGTTTTTTAATATCCATCGTCAGTTGTGAAGGTAGCATCACCAAAGATTGCAAAGTTCTAAGCCAAGGTTCTTCCTGCTACACCCTGTGTGTTCAGATTAGCCTCCTAACCAGGAGCATGTTTCAAAGCGACAGCGTAGAGTTTACTTCCAAGCCAGCTGAAAGGAAAGATCCGAACCCTCAAATAATAGTTGAACTTAAGGTCAGTTTACAGAAGAGGAATGATCTGCGCAGCCTAATGCATAAGTCTGAGGAAGAGGAAGCTGACCATGAAAACCGCAAGAGGAAATGCCTGCTGGAGGGAGGCCAGCTTGGAGACTCAGCACGCTGGAGTCGCAGGGAAGCAGCTTGGCTCTCCCACTCAGAGCTTCCCATCCATAGACATCTATCTGCCTGAGCAGGTGACTTCTACTCAGAGCTTCCCATCCATAGACATCTACTGCCTTGAGCAGGTGACTTCTACTCAGAGCTTCCCATCCATAGACATCTGCTGCCTTGAGCAGGTAACTTCTACTCAGAGCTTCCCATCCATAGACATCTGCTGCCTTGAGCAGGTAACTTCTACTCAGAGCTTCCCATCCATAGACATCTACTGCCTTGAGCAGGTGCCACTGGAAGTTCCTAAGCAGATCCCTGGCACCCATTTCAGAAGAACATTTTGAAGAATTCTTGGGTGGGAAGTTATAGTAAGTGACTTTGTGGGCCTCTTCCACTCCAGTTGTCATAGAACTGAGTGTGACAGCATGTGTTTGAAATCAGATACAACAGGTTGAGCCTACCTGCAGAGGTCAAGCTTTACCATTGGGCACTACCCTCACCTTGTGTTACCAACCAGAGTGTTGTAATGGAATGTTTAGAGTGAGCTTGGCCTTCTCTTGTTCTGAACATAAGCATCTTCATGTGATTTGCATTCTAGATGGAGATTCCCACGCTATGCTGTCTATCCTCTTGGACCTGTGTGCTTTTACTAGGACTTACAGGGAAAGGTTTAGTATTTACCTGGGGGTGGAGGTCTTTCAGGGCCAGGACAGTTCTTGCTTTGATTACTCTGAGCCATTTCCAAGCACCTTCTTTTGTTTCCTGTAACTCTTTACCCGGGAGCATCCATCAGTTTTTCCCTCTCATTCCTATGCTTTCACCTTCCAAATATCTCCTCCCTCCTTACTTTGCCCCATTCCTCTCTTCCTTCAAATCATTATTAATCATTTAATTGAAAATTTGACCAGAACTGTTAGACCTAACCAAAGTAAAGTAATTATAAAAAACACACACACATAAAACAACAACAACAACAAAACGGGTTATGCCTGCCTGGCGTGGTTCAGTGGTTGAGCATTTATCAATGAGCCAGGAGGTCATGGTTCAATTCCAGGTCAGGGCATGTGCCCAGGTTGCAGGCTCAATCCCCAGTGGGGGGTATGCAGGAGGCAGCCGATAATAATTATCTCTCATTATTGATGTTTCTATCTCTCTTTCCCTCTCCCTTCCTCTTTGATCAATAAAATATATTTAAAACCAAACCAAACCAAACAAAAAACTGGTTATAATAGTAGCAAATGGCATCAATAGTCAACACTCCTTTGGCTCCTGGCATCAATGGTGCTCCACAGCTAATTGCCAATTAGGGAGCTGGCATTTATTCTCCCCAAGATGTAAGAATTCGTTTGACATTTTTTCATGGCTGATTTTCAGAATCTTTGTCCTGGGTCTTGTCTCTCCTTTAAGAACTTGAGAGCTTGTTTCTGTTTTGTGCTATAAAATAATCACTGTAATAGCCATCGTCATTGTCATGTTCTTGGCCCCAACAGGCTGTGTTTGACGTGGACAGCAAGAAGGGGCTGACTCTGATTGAACTCTGGGAAGGCCTGACAGTGGACGACATCAAAAAGAGCACCGGGTGTGACTTCGCAGTAAGTGTTTCTGTGAACCATCCAGCCACTTACCCCATGTCACCAGCTTGATGAATGGGTGTTTACAGGACATGAACCATTCATTTGTGATCATTTTTGGAGTTGACCTTTGCAGAGAACAGGAGTGGAGGGGAGGGGGCCTCCAGATGAGAGCAGGTTGGAGCAGGAATAGGCTGTGACTCATCTGCCAGAGTTTGCAGTCTGGAGTAGGAAGGGGAAGGATCACCCGGAGCTGCTGGAAACAGAAGGTCTAGCGAGCTTGAACTCTAAGCTACTCTCTGTAAAGTCCCCTGCAATTCTCCCTTCTTGGGTTACACATCAGCCGTAGCTGAACTTGATTGACTGAAAAATGTGAGCTGCACACAGAGAATTGGTACTTCCTTATTTTTAAGCCCATCTGTGGCTTATGAATTTCTCTTTGAGTAGTTTCTATGCCTGATTATTCCATCTGTTGAAGTTATTAGAATGTTGGGCTTCTGACGCTGCCAGATTATAGTCACAAAATAGGCAGATCCTACATCTGAAGACAAGTTTAGTACATAAAATTCTGACCTACAAAGTAGATAAGTTCTTCAGGGAGTATCCATTTAAGAAATCTCCAAATCCCTTTTTGAAACAAAGAGAATAATACTGCAATATAAATAATTGCCCTTTAGTATAAGTGCTTATTTATCAATCACCTACCTAATGGGAGTTGAGGGGATGGATGGCTCTGAAGAAAATGAAGGAAACGAATTTGCTGCTTACATACCTTTTTAAGAACAGCTCTACTAGTTAAAATGAAATATATTTATAATGAGGGGAAACGTCACAGCTACAGATCCTGGAGAAAGTAGTTTAACAAAACATATTTCATAAGTCCTGCAGAGAGCTCATACATTTCTTCCTTGGGTGCTACATGCCTGGCCGGTACCTATCCATGCATAACTGATTTCCATAAAAGCAATTTTGCTGCATAGTTAATTATCCACATTTACCTGCTTCTGCTACTGTATGAAGGTCTTTGTCTATTAACCTTTTCCAAATTTCTCTTGGGAGAAAAGAAGTCTGCCAGCAATGCCTTACACAAAAGGCACATGTTTAATTACCTTTTCAATAACCTCAGGGGGTAAAAATGGGATTTGCCTATACTTTAACTATTTAGAATACCTTAATCTAGTGATAAAAGCAAACCATTCTTACTTAATGAACTTTTCTTCATTTTTTCCCACTGTGTGGATGAGTCAGCCCCTGTTCAGTAGGTAGCATATTTGAGATCCATACAGTGTTCAGTTCTCTGCTGCCAAAGAGAGTATACAAGGAAAGAGCCTCATTGGAAGAGCCTATTTTTAAGTCCTGTTCATAAATCAGGAATGAAAAAGATGGATTTTTACTGTTGTTGTTGTTTTTTTTAAGTGCCAGTTTCCATGTCCTTATACATGGAAAAATGTATCAGGGGTTCCTCTTTTATTACAGTATCACCCCTCCTTTTCTTTTGACATTGGCATGTCATCTTGTGTCCTCCAAATTAGGCCGTTGAGATGAAATGTTAATTTGTATGTCAGTTTTGTCCTGAAAATGAAAAGGTGTAGCATAGCTGAACCACCCTGACAAAAGAACTAACTTTTAAGGATCTGATGGTCAATGGCATGGCTTTAGACCCTGGCAGATGAAATCACATGTAGTGGATTGTTTGTCTAGGGACCGAAACGCTCTGATTAATAAAACCTTTTGCTCAGTAGCTGGTTACTTTTAATAATAAAAGGACTCTGAGCATAGTATTACTTTATTTGATAATTCTGTGTTATAATTCGCAAGCTATCCATGTGATTATGATGGTATAGGTAGCATTTTGGTCCACACGGGACTATGCATGTTAATCAAGGTTTCTGCTTGAGAAAAAACCCACTCAGCCTTCACTGTATAACTGAAAGTGAATATTCTAGAAGAGAATAGCCAAGTTGCTGCATAATAAAGGGAAAAAAGTAAAAACCAAGGTCAAAGTAATTATGAGGATGTGTTGCTAAAATGTCCCTTATATCTAAGAATATGGGCAAGTGAATGGCCAAATATACAGAATGTGGCTATAGGCTGATTGAGAAAATACTGAGAATTTCAAAGAAAAAGATAGTGTATGACAGCATCAGATAACAGGACATGACAAAATTGTAGTTTCCGGGTGTTAAAAAATAATCATTATAATGAAATATTTGCCCATTTAAAAAAAAGTATTACTAAGGCTTTGCTGTATACCACAGTACAGTTAGCAGCACAGAAACTGTGGAAGAAAATCGCATCCTATCTGTGTTACTTGAAACAGCTTTCATAAAAAATTTGTTAAAGACCAAAAAAATGTATGATGAGTTATATTCATGATATTGTCAGCTGAAAGGAGGAATTTGCTTTTCAGTTGTAGGAAAGCTTCTTAAGGGTCATATATGTCTGGAACTCTAAAGGAGGCTGTGGAAAGTTTGTCATAGAAATGCAAATAATTGGCTCTATTTCTGGAACTTCCATCACACTCCAAAATAATTCTGGTCAAGAGTGGTTCACAGCAAGAGAAGCCAATTTATAATGGACAGAGACCTTGTTCCATATGATCCCTCTCCTTCAAAATGCAGTTGTTATAAAGAAAGGGACTTCCCTCTGTGTTTCTTGGGGATTGAGCTCTGAATCTATTGAGAGAGAGAGAAAGGAGCCGGGCAGGGAGAGGTGAAAAGGCCACTGTTATGATAAAGGCTGGGATGGAGGGTGTGGCTGAGGTGGACAGTCACACAGGCATTTTATATATATTATTGATTTCAGAAAGGAAGGGAGAGGGAGAGGGAGTGGGAGAGAGATGGAAACATCAATGAATCATGGATCGACTGCCTCCTGCCTGTCCCACACTGGGGATAGAGCCCGAAACCTGGGCATGTGCCCTGACCAGAATGGAACTGTGATCTCCTGGTTCTTAGGTCGATGCTCAACCACTGAGCCATACCTTCCGGGCCACAACAGGCTTTTCAGAAAGGAACTCTAGAGGTGGGGGAGATGTCAGCTCCCAGTTACAGGCAGCCTTGGAAAACCATAGGCTTTCTTCTCAGAGGCGAGCCTTTACGTCTGAGCTGCTTTCCACGTGGCCGAGAGCAAAGCAGTACATGGTCCCTGCAGAAGGCCATGACATGTGAATGAGACAGAACAAATTGGCACAGTTCCGACTGCCAAGGGTCTTGGTTTTATTCTCTGGGCAGAAATACACCGAAACCACCCGTGGCATAACATTACATGAGGATACTACTTATTTATATGTTTGCAGTGGGATCTGAAAGAGGCCAGCTGTAGACATTCTTTGCCCTGTTGAATAAATTTATGCTCTTAATGTCTATTATGAACTGGCATTATACCAGCATTAAACAGTATGCTCTTGGGATTTCAGTGGACTGGGAAGACAAATCATTGGCTTATCTTCTGCACTAAAATCATGTAGTCTTATGCTTAGCCCATAGATCACCGTGGCAGGACAATCTGCTTCAGCTTGCATGGGCTTCCAATGTTGATGAGACTGTGAGAGAACAGAATAAAAAATGGTTGTTTAGTAGATGTTTTCATTAAAAAAAAAAAAAGAACACACCACAGAGGCTACGTCAGTGTGTATAGAGCTTCATCTTCTGATAAAAGTCATTTTCCACATTGAGCATATAAATGAAATTAAGAGCTCAAAATAGGGCCAACATGACAAGAAAAAGGATGAGATGTTTAAGAAATTAAGGCGTTGTGTGCTTTTAGAGGAAATTCTATAAAGACTCTCTTTCAAAAAAGGCAAAATTTTTATTTCATTAAATTATTTCCTCAGATGCTTTGTTGTTGTTTTAAAGGATTGTTTGTGAGAGACACTTTCTAAATACTCAGAGTCCTATGTCTTTTATTCTTTTCTGGAGAGTTGAAGTTCTGTGCAAATATGAGCTGTGACTTGTGTCTACTTGTTAGATGTCTCCTATTTTGTCTATTATTATACATCTGTTCTTAGAACTGGCAAGTCTGAATGAGCTCTCCTTTATTCTAAGCTCCCTATACCAAGGCACACTGATCCTTTTTATTCTGGCCGTGTCATTCTTTTAGTAGAAAAATAGAAAAGGGATATTAACTCTTGGCATTGTGACACGCTAATACAGAAATAATGTATAAATGAACTAAAAATATTTAACCTCATCAAGTCCAAATAATTGTCTACTTCTATTTTTAATACTGACCTAACCTCTGTTAGAAACCTTTCTTCCAGTTCTTTGAAGCTTACCTAGTCCACTCACTCATTCCTTCATTTCTTCATTCCTAAATTTAAGAAAAATATTAACTATTTATTCTGGAAGGCAAAATGCTTTCCTTGGCCCCAATTCAAGGCCAGCAGGAATCCCTAATTTGGAGTGCTGTGAAGAAGGAAACTTTATTCAGTGCAAAATAGCTCAATTGTGAAACAGCAGGGCCTGAGGCAGCCCTAAAGCCAGGTGGCCCTGGGGCCAGGCCCCTCTCCAGCTAGACAGCCTGGCTCTACTCCTTTATGGTCTGCTTTGTGCTGTGCTGCTCTGCTGTTCTTTGGTCTGCTCCATTCTGTGCTAGTCTGCTCTGGCCAGCACTGGTCTGTTCTACTCTGTTCTACTGAAACATCTTTCGTGTTTCAGCTCAGCTAGGGATACACAGCCTTAAGAAAGGAAAAATGCACTCCCAGAGCCAGAATGGAGCTATCCTCATGCAATTGAGGACTCAAAATCCTTGCAGTTTTATTGGTCCAAAAGGCACTGTCCTGATTGGTCAGAATAGAGCCACTCTGGTTGGTCAGAGCTGTGCAGCTCTGATTGGATGGGGAAAGCCTCAGTCCTGTTGGTTAAAATAGGAGTCTTTGAAAGAGGACATAAAGAAGGCCAAGAGACATATGAAAACATGCTCAAAGTCACTAAGCATCCAAGAGATGCAAATCAAAACGACAATGAGGTGCCATCTCACACCTGTCAGAATGGCTATCATCAACAAATCAACAAACTACAAGTGCTGGAGAGGATGTGGAGAAAAAGGAACCCTCTTGCACTGCTGGTAGGAATGCAGACTGGTGCAACAACTGTGGAAAATAGTATGGAGTTTCCTCAAAAAATTAAAAATGGAACTCCCATTTGACCCAGTAACCCCACTTCTAGGAATATATCCCAAGAAATCAGAAACACCAATCAGAAAGGATATATGCACCCCCATGTTCATAGCAGCACAATTTACAATAGCTAAGATTTGGAAACAGCCTAAGTGCCCATCAGCAGATGAGTGGATTAGAAAAGTGTGGTACATCTACACAATGGAATACTACGCTGCTGTAAAAAGGAAGGAACTCTTACCATTTGCAACAACATGGATGGACCTGGAGAGCATCATGCTAAGTGAAATAAGCCAGTCAGAGAAAGAAAAATATCACATGATCTCACTCATTTTTGGAATGTAATGAACAACATAAACTGATGAACAAAAATAGAGCCAGAGGGTGGAAAAATATTTTAGAATATAATAGAAGTAATCCTGTTATTTGCAGATTTTTAATATTTTTTACAACTTTTGTGATATCATAGTATGTTAGTACCATTTTGATATTTTTATATTTAAAATCCTTTTTTTTCTTGAAATATTAATGTTTATTGCATGTAATATTATTATATTTAAACCCTAGCTGGTTTTGCTCAGTGGATAGAGCATTGGCCTGTGGACTGAAGGGTCCCAGGTTCAGTTTCAGTCAAGGGCACATGCCCAGGTTGTGGGCTCGATCCCCAGCGGGGGCCCGCGTGCAGGAGGCAGCCGATCAATGATTCCCTCGCATCATTGATATTTCTATCTCTCTCCCTTCTCCCGTCCTCTCTGAAATCAATAAAAGTATATTTTAAAAAAATATTATTATATTTAAGGTCGTTTTTTCTTGAATAAAAAAACAATGGGAGTTCATGAACTCCTTTCTTCACAAGAGCTGGCTCAGATGGCAGAAGCACTGTGCGGGCAGACAATTCAGTGCAGAGGTGGGCAGTTTCGTGCGGGTTTCTCTCTAAAGTGCAGTTTGTGTGCTAGTCCCCTGTGTAGAAATGGCTGCTAGGCTCTGGTTTTTTGTTTTTTGTTTTCTTTGAGCCCAGTTAGCCAACAGGAACCCTTCTTAGGAGGCATCTTCTTTCTCAAGGTCCACACTAGTGAGGCGAGGGCTCAAAAAAATCACCTAAATTTTAATATTTTCTACTGTGCATTCCATGAGGACTGTTGTTTACTAGGACTTGGTGGGTATTTGCCAGATTGAATGAAGAAATCTGTACCTGGCATTGCTTCTTGAAAGATCTGTGAAAATGAAGCCAGACCACAGACACTGAGGTTTCTTCTTCCATCATTAAATGTAGACCTGTGCGTATGTTTCTCTGCTTCAAGACTCCTAGGAATGCATTTGCTGTTCCGTACGTCGAACATAAATACAGTCAACATTTGATATTTTTAATGCTATTACCTCTTTTTTTGTAATAACTTGGAATCTTTTTACTGCTTTTATGTCATTTCCATTCTGATTATGAACATTCTGATAAAACTTTTTCATTGACTGTACATCTCTTCATTAATACAAGGTGGGGCCAAAGTGGATTTACAGTTGTGAGTACACAAAACACAGTTTATTCTTACATTATTATTTATTAATTGTAGTATTTTCCATATGAATGACTGTAAGCCTACTTTTGCCCCAACCCTGCGTGTATCCAGTTAATCAAAGACTACATTAAGTATCTCTGAACAAACCTGTGGATTGACTGGACCTGTTCTGAGGATTTTGAGACGTGTGCCTGAATGTCAGTTTTGAGTGAGGTCTCAGAGACAGTAAGCTTAGAGCTCAGTGATTCATTCAGTACAGAGCTTGGTTATCTGGACCCTTTATTTGTCTCCCTCTTCTCCTCCTCCATCCCCTTGTTTTGATCTTAATAGTCCTTAATTTAGGAGCTATTGTGGAAGAACGTTAAGAACCACTATACACAACATGGGAGCAGAAAAGGAGTTCTCTGTCTCGGCTCAGGGTGGAAAAATGAGGAAATTCCAGGTGCTGTTCCTGGAGAGGCGATGTTCAGTGTTGATATCCTTCACGTTTGGAAACTGAAAGGAAAGCTGTGTATACTGTGAGGTTTTTCATAATTTGGTTATTTTTCTCTCTCTTTCTTTTACCAGGTTTCACCAAAACTCATGCCAATGCAGCAGATCACAATTTGAAACGTGGAATAAACATTTATCACAGGCTGTGTGTTTTTCATTTTAACCACGTAGAGTTTCAGTAATCATAACTGTATACTGAACAAGCAGCTTTTGACTAGGTTTTTCTAGCATTTTATGCTTTATACAGCCTGTTCTCAAGCGTGCTATGACATTTTGATGAACAAAGAGAAAAAATACATATATGATTATAGTATTTGTTTTATAAGTGCTTAGAAGGATGTCTTTACAATTGGTGCTCGCATTGAATTTTTCTCCATCTTCTGTGGTACGTACACAAGATGGGGCTGTAGGAAGAGTTTCATTGATGTACTCTCCCTCCTAAAGAAATTGTGAAGAAAAAGAGCGAGGGAGGAAAGTGACCCCTCCCCCAGGGTAACCAAGGCAGCATTGTACTGGGTCCTGAAGAGAACATGTAAGTGAATTTTGATTGGGAGGAATGCTGTCTTAACAATTGATTTTCCTTCAGCATCCTCTGACTTTTTTCGGGGGAGCCTCCGATTGTGTGATCCCATCTCGTTTTCCTAGAGCACCTCTCTTCCTCCCACGCTTTCTGTAACTAAATAGATGCCTAAGAAGGGAGGCAGGGCCATGTCTGTGTGGGAGGAGTAACTGTGCAGGAGGGAGACTCGGTGCAGGGCCTGTTGGTGCTGCCATCCTGCCTAAGTTGCCTTGACCAACCAACCAACCAACCAACCAACCATCTGTGCTTTGCCAGTGCCTCACTCATCTAGTCAGTTTCCTCATTGTGAAGCAGTGCAGTATTCGTATGTATCCAGACGGTCCTTAAGAGTTTTTCTCTATGTTATTGAGGACCAGTGGGCAACTTGAACAATACCTGCTCTTCAGCCAAGAAGGGCTGTGGGATAATTTATCATGAATCCATAGTCACAGTGAACACACAGGTGTGTTTTTTGTTTTTTGTTTGTTTTTTATTCTTTTCTGGCTCTCCTATTTCTGGTCAGAAAAGTTTCTAAATTTGAGTGCCTTTTTCTACAGAACAATGTTTTCTTCTGACCAGACTACTTCCTTGAACAAAGTACTTTTAATTCAACTCTATGCAAATAGGGGAAGTAAGGATGAGCAAATCTAGAATTTGAAGAGCAGTGATTGAATTTCTATTGTTAAAAAATAAACATAGTGGATTAGGTTTTGTAAGGAATAACTTCTCAGAGGTATCCTCAGTACCAAACAGTTGCCCCAGGGGTAACCCAGCAATATATGGGGTGAGAAGTCTGGGCACCCTAAAGACAGGCCAGACTGCTGTTCGCCAGACAGAGGCAGGCATAGCAGAGGGCGCTGTGTTGCTCCTCTGGCTCCAGACATAGGGATTTATTCATGTTTTTTGGGTGATTGAAAGTCACTTTCTCTTCATATACAGCTATTGTTGTGTCATGCACAGTATTAGAGGGAGGAGAGAGGCTTTTTTTTAAAGAAGCAAACTCCATATATAAAATAGTCTTTTCTACCAGCTTCATGGTTGAAAGCATACTCTCCCAGTACTGGTAAAATGGATTCTTTAGAATTTGTGAGGCCTAGAGAATAATATATATCTATGTTAGAGTTATGATCAGGAAAAATGTGTGATATTGATGATTGCTTTATTTGCAAGCTTATTTTCTTATCATTCCAGTCTGTTACTTTAAGACAATGTGTTTCTAAGAATGTTCTCAACTTTAAATGGCGAAACCTAAGTAGATGACTTTATATTCTTGATTAGAGTGCTATGGATATTAAGAAATGCAATAAAAATACAATAAATATTTCAAATTTATATATATTGGTGTGATTGTCCTTTTTTTCTCATTTGGGAATGGTGTGACTACACATGGGAACTATACAACAGAATTGGTAGAATCACCAACAAAAGTCAGCACACTTTTCTAATCAAGTTGTTGCTTTTCTTTAAGAAAAAATATTGTCTCTTATGAAAGAACAATGAAATGTTTACCTAAATGAATTTTGCACTTTGTTCCTTATCAGAGCCAATCATTTGTCTATAAAAATTGGCTATCCCCGGCTTCATATGTTAATATATATTTTTTTTGCTTTTATCTGACATTTCGTTAGGATACACATACATTGGTTAGTTGTCTAGTGGTGTGTTGAGTTTGCTTGCATTTTGCACTGGCTTCAGTGCTAGTCTGCCGAGCATCTGTGTTCTCCTCTAAAGAGGCTCTCCCCTAGCCAAGAACTGGGTGTGTGCCCGGGACATGTCATTTTGGGTACCTGTCTTCTGTACACAGTGGTTATAACCAGGGGTATATGACCCGGATGTACCAGTCAGGTTGCTTCTCCCATGTTTAAAAACTGAAAATGAAAGAGAAGCCAATTTTCTTATTCCTTTCTAGTCACTAAGCCATGAGAATGTGAGGCTGATGCCAAAACCCCTTCTCCCTTCTGCACCCCCAATCCCAACACACCCCCCACCAGCTGAGCTCCAGCTGGAGAGAAGGAAGCTGAGCACAAAGAGCAATGTATTTGGAGCAGGAGGGAGGGAGTTTCCTGATGGTGTTTGGGTTCCTGGCTCTGGATGTGCCTAAGACCAGCTTCCCTTTGTATGTGAGCCCATTTCCCTGAGCTGGGTCTTTGTCACTTAAAACCAGAGTGTGAACTCAAACAACTTTCATAATTCCCGAGTCCTGGGAGGATGTGGTCTCCTGTAGGAGTTAGGCAGAATGTGAGCACAACTGCTTATACCTGGGCCCAGAGATGGTGTGTTAAGACCATTTCTAGGTGGGTAGTAAGGTTGTGAATAGAGGTTTTCTTTCTCTTGCAATTTCAGCATTGTAAGCACAGCTTTGAAAATTATTCCAATGGAAGTAAAAGAGAGATTTATCCAATGGATAGGTTTGTTTGCACTAACCTTCTCCCTTTCCTCACGGGCTGTGGTCTTGAGTTTCTTAAGCTTATTTTCAGATTCTCCATCTTTAAAATGGAGAGAGTATACTATTTTCCATCATGATTCTCTAAGATGTGATTAATATATCTGGTTGTAAAATACTGATAGGTCTTTAAAATGCTGTACCAGAATATTACCTTGGGCCAGAATTGTCAGTTTTTCTTGTCCTTTTAAAGGCAATCTTGAGCTCTAGTATTTCTGAAATATGATATTCAAGGAAATTGCTATTGGCTTGGTCATCTGGATTTTCTTTGCATATTTGTCAGCTCTCATTTTCCCAAGAAATCTATTTGTGTGTGCTTGGCAAACTAGTTGTTCAATAAATTTTTAGTAAAGGAGTGAATAAATTAAAGAGCAGATAAATTAATTCAGTGGCACGGGATCATAGTCATACACAATTCAATTTTTCATTTTTAATATGTAACTCTAAATAATAACAGCAAATAAACACAAAATTGGTTTGGTGATATGCCAGTAACCATTTAGGTTCTCCCCCCACCCCCTCTCAAATTGGTAAATAATATTTTTTTTAAAAAAATATTAATTATAATGGGATTGGAGTGATGAGGAATTGGAAAGTCAGAAAGCAAGAGAAGTTGAAATAACATGAATAGTGGGTGTAAGGACCAGCCACACCCTTAGTGTTGACATAGAGCATCCAAGGAAGAGGCCTCCAGGACCAAGATCCAGACCTGTGGGGAGGCGCACAGCAGCTGGGCTTGCTGGGTTGCAGAGAAGTCACGTGGTGCTGGGCCAGCAGAACTGCAGGAAGTCTGCCTCTGAGGTGCCAGAGAAAGCTGACCCCTGGGGGAGCCACATTTCAGTAGTTGCCACAAAGCCTCCTGGAATGATTCCAGGGAAGCTGCTCACAGGGAGGTGTCTCTTGGGATGCTCACTGCAGAGCCATCCCAGGGAGTGCTGGGGGGAGCTGCCGCCCCTGGGGCCCGTTGGCCACCAGGCACAGCAGGAGCCAGGACCTGGAGCAGCCTATTGGGCAACAGTTTCTGGATGCTGGAGAAGCCGTGTGTGCTGCTGGGGTTGGACAATGGAGAAACCAAGAGCTGCAGCATCCTTTTGAGAGAGCAACACCATCCAGGAGGAGAAACTTCCTCCTCCACTGTCTCTCCAGCACCTTCTACTGACAACCCTTAGCATCCTGCCAGGTGGCAGTGAAGGCCGGATTTGGAGCTGGAAGGCAATAAATTGATAGCTGGCATAAGCACCTGCTTTGAGCAAGCAGCATTCTAGGTGCCAGGGGTATGGAGTGGAGAGAAATAGCTCTTAATCAAATAATAAAAAAAGAGTAAACTCATAATTGTGTTGAGTTTTCTTTTATGTGAAGGAAAGTGTGTATCATGAAAGACTGTTCAGAGGGTCTTGAAATTAGACTTCATACTATCCTCTGCTCAGCACATTTTTAAATAGGCTACAGGTTGTTCAGTAAAATGTTAAGAAAAAAAGCAGCTTTTTAAATGAATTAAAAACAAACAAAAAAGCAAAACACGAAACATTGAGTTCAAGTAATTTATGAATTATTATGATCTGTACAAAATCCAAAGGAATTCTACCATAAACAATGCCATACTCCTGGAAAGGACTGGTTGGAGGACAATCTCTTATGCGTGGTTTGAGAAAATCTGAAGTTTCCGTGAGAGAGAGTTATGGAAAGGATACGAAGTAGAACAATCCTGGTCCAGAGAAAGGGGCACACCAATCAAAGGCCATTGTCATTTGAGTGTAGAAGTCTTATTGTGGAAGGCTATTACATAGATGCAATCTGTTCTGAAGGGGTCAATTGAAATACTGTGGTGACTCAGGAAATGCAGCCATGAGACTCGCTGACCAGACTGAGCCAGCTGTGTGTTTCAGAAAAGAAGCAAGTGGGACATGACCTCATTGTCGTCTACAGGATCCATAAGAGGCGGAACTGTTTCAGGGACACCGAGCTGGTGGTGGAACTGAACATGGTTACAGAAGTTAACTTGGGTGTAAACTGAAAAGTCACTTCTTATGGTGGAAGGGAAAAAAAATGAGGACTTAAAGTAAAAAAAATAACTGGCCCATGTGTTTATCTCATATGACTTTTTTAAAAAGAAGGTAGCATCTTTCTCATTTTATGGAGACC